GGGAAAGATATCTACTCTTATAAACATACCACCATACACATTTTCATTAAAGTAGAATTTCCTCCTAGAATAAGGCCAGAAAAAAATAATGGTCATGTACTCTTCAAAAATATCAAGGTCATTAAAAACAAAGATTGATTAAAAAAAAGAACTGTTCCAGATAAGAGACTAGAGAAAGATAACACAACAACCTGTGATCGTGGATTGGATCCTAAGCCAGAAAAAACTTTTTTCTTTTGCTTAAAAGCACATTAGGACATTAGTGGAATAACTGGTAAAATTTGAAGGTCTATAGAGTAGATCATAGTATTAAATGTTAATTTCCTAATTACAATACTTATACTGTACTTATGTAAGAAATGTTCCTGTATTTTGGGAAATACACAATTAAGTATTTAGAGGTAGAGTCACATCATATCTCCAACTTACTCTCAAAACAGCACAGATATAAAAAATACACGTGTATGTAAAAAAAGAGAGAGAGAGAGAGAATGAATGAATGAATACTAAAGCAAATATGGCAGAATATTTCCATTTAGGAAATCTGAGAGTACAGGAATCTTTACAGCAATATATAAAAATATTTAAGTTAAAAAAGGAGGAAAAGGTTGTTTCGATTACACAGTCACAATAATGGAAAACTTTTCATATATATATGGAGAAAGACTCCCTTAAAAAAAAAAACAAAAACCAACATTAACTAAATTCTCTGTTAAAGTATCTTAACATAAGACATTCAGTCTAACCCAAATTGGAGGGAGGATGTATTAGTATATTTTATATGTATCTCAAGAAAAAATTTTTAATGAAATTTCATAAAAGCTTAAAATACATTTTCTTACTATCAATATGGTTAGAATACTTAAACATTATATACAGAATCTCCTAATAGCAAGTTTCTCAATAGGAAAAGGAATGTACAACACATAATAGAATGACATGAAAGAATATCATAGTCCGAGCATATCAAATTTACTCCCAGCATATCAAATTTACTCAATGATAAATAATCTTAAGCATTAATTTAAACAATCATGCATACTGTGGAGTTCTGAATGTTTAAAAAAAAATAAAAAACAAAAAAACAGACTTCAAAGAATTTCCCACTTGCCATATATTATTTTGGGCTATACTCACCAGACCCAGGAGCCTCTGCCATTACAATATACTTTAGGGGGAAAAAAACTGACATACACTGATCTAATTTAATTATTGTGTCTAAGCAGTGATCTACAAACTGGGTATTCTATTATTCAGAATACCTAATATATAACAGTTGTCATGTCTGTTTTCTTTAGTGGTTCATTTTCTTCTGTCCCCTCAACTTCATATTCAAGCTTCAGTCCTTTATGTTCATCTCTTACCATCTCATGCCCATTATGTCCACCATGATCACAGAACCAGTAAATTCTTAGATCTACGTATCTAATCATAATCCCCCGCCCAAGCACCTGGTTCAGCTTTTCCAAATGCCTACCGGACATTTCTACCTCAATTTAACCTGGATTTTCTCTCAAACTACACTCCTTCCTCCAAAATATAAACTTTCTATTTTTGCTAAGGAAGAATTTCTTCCATTTAATACTTTGTCATCTTCTCCTCTTCCTCCCTATCACTCCATCCTATCAATATTTCCCCAGTGCTTCTTATTTTTCTTTCCAAACATCATCAACCCTGGTTTAGGGCCTTATTACCTTGTGGCCCAAGTCTCTAGAGATTACTTCATGGTCAGGCTATCTCTAAACTGCCTTACTTCTAATCATGCTTCAGAATAATCCACTACAAATTACTTACTCAATGAATCACTCTGCTGCTCAAGTTTCTAAAGTTCCTTGCTGATGACAATATACATATCAGACATGGCAGTCTGATTTCAAAGTTCTCTAATATTAGGCCCCAATTAACCTTTTTCTAATTTGACTCTTAATCCTCCATCCTCCAAGCAAACTGACCTATTCACTATTCCCTAAAAACTCATTTTGTACGCTGTTACCTGTATTCTTGCTCCTCTTATAATCTCAAACCCACCTCAGTTTTCTAGGCCTACCTTAAATTGACTTTCAATTCCTTCCATGAATATTTAGTGAGTACCTACTCTATACTAGGCACTGGGAATAAAGCAGAGAAGCTAGACAAGGTTCTTGTTCTCTTCCAGCTTGCATTCTGGTGAAGCAAGTAAAATAAAGCAGTAAACAAACAGTTTCTAACAGTGATAACTACTACTGAAGGCAACAACCAGGTAACGGGTTGGTAGGAAGGAGTAGTGGGACAGAGACTTGACTTTAAAGAGAACCCCGATAAGATTTCTTTAAGACAGGGGGAGCAAATATAAAGTTCCTGAGGTATGGTTGTAGTAGAAAAATCTGAAGAGTAATAAAGATATTATGACTGACAGCCAGAGAGGATTAGTGGAGGACAAAAGCACATGAGGTTAGAAGTAGGTGAAGAAAGATTACATAGGAACCCGAAAGCTACGGTAATACAAAGCCACTGAATGACTTCATACAGAGGAACGGCATGAACTAATTTATACGTTTTTAGAGACTGGTTAGTCTGCATGTAGAAAGGCAAAAATGAGTACAGGGAGACCACCTTGGGGACCACTGCAATTGTCTAAGAGAGACCATTTTTACAGAAAAGGTTGATAAAGGAAGCGTAACAAAGGAACAGAGTTGGAGTGGCAGAGAGAATCAAGAGTTCTAATTTGATTATGTTAAGTTTAGGATGTGTATTAGACATGAACAAGGAGGTGTCAAGTATATTGTTGGACAGGGAAAACCTCAAATTTGGGAGTCAACAGCATATAGAAAAGCCATGGAATTAAATGAGATAATTAAGGAAGAATTCAATGGAGAAGAAACGACTCAGGAATAATATTCCACATTTAGAGTTAGAGAGAGAAGTTAGGTCAAGGAGAATGTGAAACGAGTGATATGCAAAAGCCAAAATTAAAAAATGTGTCCAGGAAGGAGTAGCTGCTAATGTGTTGAATGCTGCTGATTACACAAAAACTGTCAGCACCCCCAGCAAGAGCAATTGGAATGAATGAAATTCAATTGGAATGAACTGAAAGGAAAATAAAAAGCAAGGAAATGAGACAATGGATCAAGGTGATTCCTTCAAGAGTACCTATATGAAAGGGAAGAGGGAAATGGGACAGTAAGTGGAAAGTATTACAGAGTCCAGGGAAGGTTTTGATTGTTTCATAAATTAGAAAACACAACAAATTTGTGTGCAGACTAAAAAATACAGAGGGGAAAAACTGAAGATCAAGGGAGAAGAGCTAATTATAGGTGGCTTCCTGTATCAGCTGAGAACAAAGTAAATTCACCTTCCTCTGACTTCACTGTACCTATTTTCTCCATAATCTATGTGACATCTTCTATGATCCCTGTGTGTTAAGAACCTGCTCTTTGAACAGTTCTATCACTTTCTAGCTGTGTGACCCCAGACAAGTTTTACTTCTCTAACCTCAATCTAGTCATCTGTAAAACAGGGACAATAAAACCTCTTATAAATACACAAAACACATAAACAGTTAGTATATAGCAAGCAACTATTAAATGTAAGCATTTTCATGTGCCTTTTCTCCTCAGACAGAACAAAGATCATTAAAAACAGAGCCTTTCTGGGACTTCCCTGGTGGCTCAGTGGTTAAGAATCCACCTGCCAATGCAGGGGAGACAGGTTCGAGCCCTGGTCCAGGAAGATCCCATATGCCGCGGAGCAACTAAGCCTGTGCGCCACAACTACTGAGCCTGCACTCTACAGCCCGAGAGCCACAACTACTGAGCCCACGTGCCACAAGTACTGAAGCCCGCGTGCCTAGAGCCTGTGCTCTGCAACGAGAAGCCACCGCAAGGAGAAGCCCGCACACCAAAACGAAGAGTAGGCCCCACTCGCCGCACATAAAGAAAGCCCGCGTGCAGCAACGAAGACCCAACGCAGCCAAAAATAAATAAAGTAATGTAAAACAAAGAGCCTTTCATATTCACTGTAGTAGGGATTTATCTATCTATATTCTAATAAGTATTCTATTCCACTAAATTTAAACATCAATTTTTTAAAATGTGAATTACCTCCACAGTTAATGCTAGATTCTGGTGTGTTGGAGATATCTAGGAGTGACCCTATAGAAAGGGAATGTTCAGCTGACGGGCGCTTACGGGGAGGGAAAGGTGACATGTCTGTCTCTCTTGAAAGCTGAGCAAGTGTCTCTTTTAAACGACGTCTTTTGCGATTGCTGTTTGGGGTATTTAGAGACAGAAGTGATACTGATTTCTTGAGCTCAGGTGTATTAGCCTGCAATCAAAAGCACAAAAGCTCAATTTTACTTCAGTGGTTCTTTACTGAGACAGGAACAAAAGAAAAATATATTTACGAGTCTGACAAAATCAGGATTTTGCACAACTGTACATCTATATACTCTTCCATGTAATTCAGAAGCTTCATGAAACATAATAATCAAAGGACCATTGTAATTATCTAACCCTTAACACCTAATGCTTTTTCTCCATAGCACTATTACTATTACATATTCGTCTGTAAGCTTCTTTATTGTCTACTCCCCATTAGGCCATGAACTCCAGTAAGACAGAGACCATTCATATTTCATTCACCATATCTCTGGCATTTAGCACAATGCTTGGACATAGTGCTCTTCAATATTTGTCGAATACCACTTGATTTTAGGAGTTCTCTTCTGAAATCTAAGGCATATTTTTTAAACTTTATGTCAGGAACCTTATATTGAGAATAAAAGAGTCCAAAGAAAACACAACAGAGTACATATTTAGATTTTATAGAAACACAATAAATCCACACCTTCGCTTTCAAGTATTCCATTCAAAATTATTAAATCTCGAACTGAAGTAAATTTTCCTTAAAGCCTGCTTCTATACCTTTATGTCACATTTTGGTGAATGATACTACTTTTCACCAAGATCCAGCATCAAGGCTGGATTTTTCCTTGCCTATATTCCTTCTACTACAGTCATCTTTAAAATGCCATCTCTCCCCTTAATATTCTTCAGTGGTTCCAATACTTACAGGACAAATCCAAACCCTTTAACATATTAAAAACTTGATTCTGCCTATCTAGTCAGCTTTATCTGTTGGCCTTCTTTCCCACACTTTTCCAAAGCCATACTAAACTACTTGCTATTTTAATGTACTTTCAAGTTTTCATACCCTCTCCCACCTGCTATCTAACATGAATGTCCTTACCAGGTTAGCCTAGGAAGCTGGCTCATATTTATTTGCTCTTTCAATCGCACCTGAGTCTCTCAGAGTGAAGCTAGTTAGAATACATACATTACTCAATTATAGTACATTTCTGCACGCCTCTCTTTCCTTTAAGGTTCTAAGTTTTTGAAGATAGGGATGTTACTGTTCATGATGGTATTACCAAGAATTTGCACAGAATGAAAATCTACATAGACTATTAATATCCAACTGTTTAATTATTCTGAAACCCCTAAATATGACAAAAAAGATGACCTGTGTGCTAATTATACTATGCTCTTTTGGGATAAAAAAGTGTCATCTTTATACAATCAAATTCACAGAATGACAAAAAGGACAAAAAGCATACCTTTTCATATAAATACATAGTTTCTCCAGCTCGGGCATCCATCTGAATGCTTCCCCAGAACCACTAGGGGAAAGAACATTTTAATTAAGAATTTATCTCATCAGATAAGCTATCAATATTACCAATGCTTTTTAAAAACCCATCTCATTCTAGAATTACTTGCCTCTTGCTTGACAACATAAAGTTTCTTTGAAGGTTCAAATGGAAGTTCTTTTACTATATTTTCTTCAACTATAAGGTGAGTGCATCTTTCATCTCCAACAGGTAAATAGTTTCCTCCTAAAGAGAAAAGCATACAAGCATACATAAGCCCAGCTATTTAACCCCAGGCCCAAGTTTTTAAAGAGGCATATTCACCAGGAAGTGATCAGCAGGAGTAAGGAATAAAATACATATAACTTCTAAATTATGCTAAATTCTACCTTGCATTTCAGTCATTTCTTCCATATTGGTTTTCTCTTCATCTGAAAATCCCAGGAAACTTAAAATGCAATCTTGAAATGGAGGAACTTTAAATTCATTTCTAAATTCATCAAATGATGCACAGAAATCCCTAAAAACAAAACACACTCTTCTAAAACCAGCTTAACTGAAATTCAATAAGTTAGGCAGATTAATTTATAAATCTACGGTAATTCTCAAGGTTTTAGCATAACCTATTTACTGAAAATATTTTACATTTGGTCCTGAAATGTTCATAAAAACCTCAGTTAAAAAAAAACTGACGTGTCCTCAGTCATCCCAGAAGTAACATCTCACAAAGTTTAATCACGGGTAATCTTTACAAGATACAAATCTCTGCTCTGTACATGAAATTTTATATGCATTCCAGGAGTTCTATAGTTTCATAAAATCTTAAGTAATAATGAAGTACAATAGCAAGGAATTATGAGATTGTAAAGCTTAACAAGGTTACGAAATGCAATCACCACTTAAAATGTAACCAGACAAACAGAAAATAAGAAAAAGTACGGCACAACCCAAACATCCAGATGCATTAAGCTATTACCTGATAATTTTAGAATGTTCTTAATGGTTATTAAATTATTTCACAAAGTGAAGTTCAAAGATATCATAGATGTCTTGCCATTTTCAATTTTTTATAAACAAAACTTTGCTCCTCCTAGACTTTATTCCCTAAGCTTCACAAAGACTGAATTAATTTTTTACATACTAATCTATGAATTTTGGGCATGTGGGTTTATCTTCACGACACAACGTGACTGATTCACATAATTAACTACTGAATTTCTAAACACTTACCATTCATTCCGCCTTTCCCAAGCTTTATATATCCATTCTGGTTTCATAATTGGAGTACCCAGGCTCACAGCTATCTAAAAACATAAACATGTTTATCATTAATTATATGGTGAATTTTTACCTTAAATAACTGCATTCATGCAAGTTATAAGCAATTATATACACACATTTTGCACAGTCTTAGATCATTGTTCATCTGCTTTGTAACAAAATATAAAGAAAATTTAACAGAAAAAACTATCTTTCCATCATACAATTTAGGTTAAAATAACTTTGAAACAAGTTCCATGATGTCCAAACTATTTCACTGTATTTTAAATAAATACATCTGTGAAGTTAATTAAGTTCATCTTTATTACATTTCTATTTCTCTTTGTGTTTACCTCCTTGGAAGTACTAACCCCCAAGACAGCCGTAAGAGTAAGAGAAAATTTCTGATTAAGTCACTAAAACCTTAGATATGAACTGTTAAGTATACCTCCCAGGAATTCAACAATACCCTAAAATTACCATTTGCTACATAAATGCACTGATGGAGGGTGGGAACAAAGTGATAAACTCTTCCTAACATATTCAAGTGCAATCTTAAACTAAGACTTTAATCCCAATGAAAGTATTTTCTCCCATTATTTTATAATTTTCACAAGTTAAATCTTGGAACCATTTTATAAGAACAAAGTTCTGCTCTTAGATAAGAGAGAAATATCTGTCCTCATGACCTTCTGACCTCCTTATTCACCACTGCTCATAGTAATCTTTGCTAATATTATTCATCTGCCTAAACTGTTATCCACCTACCAACCTCCACAATCCCAATCATCTTTCAAGACCTAACTCAAGTTCCATTGCCTCCTTCAAACCTCAGGGGCCACACTCCTATGATTTAAAATTTTTACTAAATGTACATATAGCAAAAATTGAATTTCTGATCCTCAATAAATTATGGGGGAAATAGACAGGATAAGAGCACTACTGTTAAATCCATCCTCAAACAGTGCTATATTGAAATATACAAAAACACCGAAATTTACATACCCTGAATTTTTCTCCTTGTGTACAATTGGCCACCAAATGTGTAACTTTTGAATTAAAGTCTTTTCGAATAACTCCACCCATGTGATGAACCAATGTCACCAATCTGACCTCAAAAGAAAATGCAAACATTGACTTTATGATTAATTTGAACAAAATTTTAAACTATGTTTATAATTCATTTAGCATTTACTGAATACTTTCTATTTATAAGGTACATATGAGAATTTTTATAAAGATAAATTTTATGTCAAAAAAATTAAAGGTTCATTTGCCTTATTGGCACAGGCAAAATTATACAGAGATAAGCTAGTAAAGATGATCACACAAAACTAAGTTAATTAACAACTGGCTTTCACACAAGTAAGAAAGTAAATCTATTACTTTTTGGAGGGGGGTGAAGTAGAAAAGAATAGCATTGTTGCTTTGCCAAGCAAAGGGGGACACATCGGGCTCATGCCTGGAAAAACTTTGTGTCCCAGTACATTATTTTTTTAAAACCAGGTTGCCATCACACCAAGATTCTTCCCACAAAATTAGAGTAATACCCCATTAGCTCCAACATAAAAAATTTTATGGATCAAAGAAAGAAGTGTCTATGAATTCTCTAGAGCAATGAGAATGCTTTAAGGCTGGACCTGCATAACAAAAAATCACAATGCGTAAACAAAAACTTCAAATAATGTGGCTGATGTGATACCTAACAAAAAGACAGTTTAAACAGATTAGATAGTCATGAAATTTTTCTAATTCACATACCAGCTATCCTAGATGAAATATCTGTTTCTTTAAACGGCTCTTCAGAGTATTTCTTCACAAAGTTTAAGACCTAGTATATTCATAGTAATTTCTCCTTCAATATTTTAAAAATAAAACCATGATATAACTACCAAAAAAAAAAAGCTAATTTAAATTTATTTTGCTAGAAAAAAATATTCTTTTAATAGAATGTTTTAAAATACTTACTAGTTCTTCTTTCTTCCTGAATCCAGTAAAACATAGTACGAGATTCATCATGCTTGTACAATAGAGTGGGCGACATGAAAATGGCAAAGGCTGAAGGATACGACAATTTTAAATCTGTGAGCTTCTTTACAGTAAAAATAGAACACATCTTTCTCAAGCTAAACGTATTTCCCCCTCTTGCCAATTAACTTTCCTAATCCAAAGATATACTTCCATCTTTCAATATGCAACAAATAGCAAAAACCCAGTTTCACAATAAAAATTTTCCATGATTCCCATATCGTATTTGATACATATCATCTAAACACACTTTACTACTGGCAAATAAAACATAAATATTCATACCCAAACCTTTATTTCCAAAATGTACTTTGACACAGATGAAGTATTATAAGGAAAGATTTCCATACGTTACTGTAAATGCTTCAAATTAAAGTTAAAAGAGGTCAAAAATAGTTTCTAATAAATACTAATAATACATACACTTGAACCAAATATGATTCCAATTTTTGAGCTAAAAAATGGAGATAGTAAATAATTTAACAAATGGTTTTATCTATCTATACATGAAAGAGAATGGTTAAAAATATATATTTAATTCCCACTATTATACAGGAATGTTCTTTTCCATAATTGTGGCCTTTAAAAAATTTATGTCATTTCTGAAAGCAACACTTCTGAATCAAAACAGAGAATTAAAGATTATCATGTGCTCATTACTAGTATCTATAACAAAAGAAGCACAAAGACCCAAGCAATTTAAAGTTAAGGCAAGCTTAAGAATGCCAAAACAGAGCAATAAAAACCAAAGAATAGGTATTAACTCTACTACAACTCTTACACTGAAATGCTATTTAAAAACAAAAAGCTAAAGTAGGACTTCCCTGGTGGCGCAGTGGTTAAGAATCCACCTGCCAATGCAGGGGACATGGGTTCAAGCCCTGGTCTGGGAAGATCCCACATGCCACAGAGCAACTAAGCCTGTGCACCACAACTGCTGAGCCTAGGCTCTAGAGCCAACGAGCCACAACTACTCAAGCCCGCGCGCCTAGAGCCTGTGCTCCGCAACAAGAGGAGCCACCACAGTGAGAAGCCCGCGCGCCGCAACGAAGAGTAGCCCCCTCTCGCCGCAAATAGAGAAAGCCTGCACGCAGCAACCAAGACCCAACACAGCCATAAATAAATGAATGAATGAATGAATAAATAAATAAATAGCTAAAGTAATTTCCCTAATTTTAAATCATGCAGAAACTGATAAAAATGGAATTGTGGTACCAGTTCTGTGCGAAGGAAAATTAAAGTTTATGTATATGTACACATCTTTAGAACTCAAGTTTAAGCAAACTACTACTTCCCAAGATACTGCAGGTATTGAGACTAAATATATGTAAATAATATTGTTTAGAATTAAAGGAGTATATTAGAGTAGCCACTACTATTCCTATCCTAAATATTCACATTCTCAACAATTAATGAAATTTTTCTGCATAAAAATTCTTTAATAAAAATTTAACCTTGAGAAGTTATAATAAGCATATATTCTTTCTTACCTCTCCTTTTTGTGCACAGTTTAATACAACTGGTGGTCCAATAACTCTACAGTCAGTCTTGTATAACTCATTAAAGACAGAATCCTGGAAGTCCATGATTATGAATACATTTTCAAATTCTGGAGAATCCAAACTTTTAAATTCTTCAACTGATTCCATCTTCACAAATGGCACTTTAATTTCCTTGATTTTTTTCACGGAGTTATTAGAAATAAAATATTATAAAATTAATTCATGTGTCTCTCTAAATAAGACCTAATAATCAATTCAATATCAACATTTTTATTTTTATATTTGTAGAAGTTTAAAATCATACAAGAAGCATTATACTTAATAGTGAACAGTCATATTTCTTTACTTATGTTTTTATATAAATGATTCTCCATCCATATTAAGATCTTAAATTTTGAAGATTATTATAAAGGCATAAGTTTCTGACATGACTTGGTAGTCATTATAAAGCATCTAGTATGCATATAAAATAAAGATGATGAATTTTTTAAGTACACGTATTTTGATAGTAAGATGCACTAGAAAGATGTCCACTACTGCTCTTTATTCTGATCAAGAAAATGATGCCACGCATATAGTTCTTCCTGCACAAACTGTTTTCAGAAAAATAGAAAAAATACTATGACATGCAACATCTACAAAAAGGATGGAGTTAACTTAATGATTTCAGTATATACAAGGGAAGTAAGAGAAAGATATGAAATATGTAGGCAGTTGCAGCATGGCAAACACAGGATATAAAAAGGCAAGTTAGTGTTTAACACTTTATACTGTATATCTATGAAAAAGAATGAAGATATTTCGGTATTTATACGACTCCCGTTTTTAAAGAACAGAACCACTTAAAAGAAAATTCAAATGGGTCAGTAAATTATTTGGGATTTATTTGCTAGGCTGACGTGTAGGGCTGAACTGTGTATATCCAAAACTCATGCTGAAGTCCTATAGGGATACCTTAGAATGTGACTATCTGGAGATATGGCCTTTCAACATGTAATTAAGGTTAAATGAAGTCACAAGGGTGGATCCTAGTCAGATTGGATTAGTGGTGGATTGGTGTCCTTATAAGAGGGGGAAATTTGGACACAGAAAGAGCAGAGATGTGCATGCACAGAAGGCTGTGTGACGCTATATGAAGAAGGTGGCAGCCATCTACAAGCCAAGGAGAGAGGCCTCAAGAGAAATCAAACCTGCTGAAACCTTGATCTTGGACTTTTAGCCTCCAGGAAAGTGAGAAAATAAATTTCTGTTGTTTAAGTTGCCCAGTCTGTGGTATTTTGACATGGAGGCCCTCACAATCTAGTATAACTGGTATAGAGAGTTAGATATATTTCACATGCTGAGGTAAATTCCCTGATGACTGTCAATTATTGTGATCTGTAATTCTGGAAATAAAGCAAGAATTTAGAATAAATATAAAATAATTGAGAAAAAAGAAGCTAAAGAGTTTAAAGTGTCATCTTCATAAATACATAAATGGAATGTCATTTAAATCTAACAATGCCAAATTACTTTATAAGGATTTCACTATTTATGAAACATTATATTTTTGGGTTTCAGAAACACCCAAATTTTAAAATAAATGTAATAGTTTCTATTAATCTAGCTTCAGAGTGCTCAGAGTATAACTTGTGCCTAATTTAGGTCCAATCACCATAAGTGGACTCTACGAATACAATCAAAGGAAGTGCAGCATGCCACATGCAATGAAATGCTTGACCTACCATATTAACAATACTTTTTATTAATTTTTCATCCGATTTTCCAGGACAACTTTCTTTTATCTTTATAACAGGGACTTCCATTATTTTAATAGTCTGTGGAAAAGAGACTTAAGTATGAGGTTAAGAAAACTATAAATTTATTTATACACAGATGGAAGAAAAATATTTTAAAAAACCCAAAAATCTAAAAACTAAATTCCCATACCTTTAAGGCTTTTATAAGTTCTTCTTGTTTTCCAGCTTCTTGAACCAGTATTATTCTTGTTTCAATCTGAGGCATTTCTTCTATTAAAATTAAAAATGTTTAAGTAAAACATTTTTATTCACTAACATCAAAATCAACAGCACATGCAACTTTAGGAAAGATCCATTTATACAGTGAAAAAGGAAGAAGTGGCTCTTCTCCTGACCAGTCATAACTGACTATATTCTAGCTAACAATGTTGCAGCTAGACTGCCCTCACATACGGAAAAAGCAATATCCAACAAGATGCTTTCACCTTCAAAGTTGGGAAGCATTTATCCAAACAATAATAAAAAATCTAGTGTAAAGAGTTTCTGTTAACAAATTTTTACTGAATACCTGTAGCCTAGCTTAACAGTATTACAGTTAAATCATAAGAAAGTCACTAGTCAGTAAGTTTAGGGTTAAAATAGTGATCTGATATTTTAAAGCAGATAACATGTTTACCTTCAACATATGAAGTAGATCCAATAAATAAGTTTTCCTTAGAAGTTTCGGTAACTTTAGAATCAAAAATGGAAGAGTCTGCCAAGCTTGTACTCCCAGTAGTGGATGTTAATGCACTATTTTCAGCCATGATTTGTACTCTTCTGCAATGGCTGAAAAAAACAAAATTTGAATAAAATTACATGAAACAAACAATTACTGGGCAAAAACAAGCATTATACCTAGAACTTATAAAAAGTATCACTACCCTTTTTTTTTTAATACTGAACCAAACAAAGTCACTCAACTTCTCTGAGCCTCAGTTTGCTCTTCTGTAAAATAAAGATACTAATAACTGATTCACAGGGATACAGTAAAAATAACAATGTACCAAAAGTACTCAGATATTACCTGACAGTCAAAAAGTACTCACAAAGGTACTCATAAAAACTATGCTGCCTCTCCACTCCATACCTTTGCCCTCAACCAAACTATTTCTCTTCCTGTATTCATTTATAATACCATCATCCCCCAACTAATCCCAGTCAAAAACACAATCCAGCCATACTCTTTCATCTGCCTCATTCGCCCTGCCCCAAAGCATGTCTGTATCTCTGGGACCCAGCCCCACTTTCTGTGGCCAATGCCACAGTGGCCACTTGGTCAAATACAACAGTTCCAAACAACTTTATCACCAGTTTCTTCAGAGGTCACTTTCCACATGGTTTTCAGGGTATGCTCCTAAAAACAAATGTGACCATATTATTTCGCTACTTAGAACTTCCATGAGCACCACTCCCTATACGATCAAGTTCAAATTCACCATCCACTTTACACTTTAGTCCTAGCCTACCTATTTAGCCTCATCTCCTGTATTTCCCCCAGTCCACATCGACTGTATGCTCCAGCCACAAAGCATTTCCCAGCATGTTTCAAATACAGATCATAATTTACTCCACACCTACTTGTATTTAATAGTGCTCAATTCTCCACCTATCATGTCTTTCAACCCCTGACCCACCACTCTTGACTTATCCTCTGTAGATTCCTCCAAACCTCTCATGTATAACTGGACTGCTCCCTTACCTGTATTTTTATATTACTTTACAAATGTCTAAAAGATTTCACGAGACAATTAACACATGTCAATAAGACTCTGGACTATGAAAGAAAATCTTTGTTTTTAAATGTCCGGGACTTAAAGAGTTGAAAAGTTAAGAAAGCAGGGAATAAAGAAAAAGTTGAATAGATCTTCATCAATTTAAATTGGGGTTTTTACATAAGTTTATTATCTTGAAGTAAATTTCCAGAATATTGGGCAAATATAAAGAGGAAGCCCAATCTTATCTGGAGGTCTATGCCTGATCTCTTTCCTACTTTTTCAGAATAATAAAATATACAAATAACTTCCACCAGATTTTTAGCAAAGTAATAGTTTCAGGTATCATTAGCATCATTTCGGCATGGTGATGTCAAATAGTGTGAATATGTACATACTAATAACAACAGACCTAAGCCCAATTATTAGGTGCACACTTCAAAGACAAGCAACTCAGCTTCCTGTCTCAGCTCTGCACTTAGTAGGTTAAGCCTCAGCTTCCACATCAGGAAAAGAAATAATAGCACAACTCAAATCCAATTGTGATAAAAACTGAATAGATGATGTCTCTAAATGAGTGACGATTATTCATTCTCATATATACTCACAATGTGGACATTTCTCATTGTCTTACCAAACATCCCCGGCAATCATTATTCTAAGGCTCTCCAAAGGAGTGCTCCAATAGTTGTTAATAAGAGGCTTTACTTAGAATCAATGATAAATTCTATCCAGCCCTTATTTTTTTGTTAAGTCTCACACTTAAATGTTTCCAGCGAAAAAGAAAGGCTCTATCTAAACAGGCTTTCATTTAAAGTCCCCTGAAAAGAATGTTAAAAAGAAAAACCGGGGCTTCCCTGGTGGCGCAGTGGTTGAGAGTCTGCCTGCTAATGCAGGGGACACGGGTTCAGGCCCTGGTCTGGGAGGATCCCGCGTGCCACGGAGCGACTGGGCCCGTGAGCCACAACTACTCAGCCTGCGCGTCTGGAGCCTGTGCTTCGCAAGGGGAGAGGCCGCGATAGTGAGAGGCCCGCTCACCGCGATGAAGAGCGGCCCCCGCTTGCCACAACTAGAGAAAGCCCTCACGCAGAAACGAAGACCCAACACAGCAAAAAATAAATTAATTAATATCCTTTTTAAAAAAAAAAAAAAGAAAAGAAAAACCAAGAGATGAATTAACCTGCCTTAAAGAATGTAGGAGGAGGGAGACTTTAATAAATCAAAAACACCATGAGTTTACATTTTTCACCTATGCCTCTCTGTTTAAAGACCATCAAAACAGGTAGGTGATTGGGACTTCCCTGGTGGTCCAGGGGCTAAGACTCTGCTCTCCCAATGCAGGGGGCCCAGGTTCGATCCCTGGTCAGGGAACTAGATCCCATACCTTGCAGCTAAGAGTTCGCATGCCGCGACTAAAGATCCCATGTGACCCCAACGAAGATCCTGCACAGGGCAACGAATATCCTGCATGCCACAAGTAAGATCCCACGCAGCCAAAAAAAAAAAAGGTAGGTGATTAAAAATTAAAATTGACTGATGACACTGTATATGATCAATTTACTGCTAAAACAGTTTTAAAATTTAGAAAAAAGCTGCATGCTAAACTCATCACATTATCAACAGTCTGATTACAAACTGAAATACACTAATCACTTTTTCACATTTATGTATTCTGTTTTTATAACAAACACAGAAGGATCAGTGTTCATAAACCCATACAGATTACTTCTCATCTGAGAACATACTCAAGGAGCTTCTAACTAAATACAACTCATGCCTTTTTTCATCACAAAGATAAAATTTGTCATTTAAACAAGTTTTCTTTTACTTATTTTTTTAGGCAATCATCTTTCACGGTGGAGGAGCTAAACGCCTTCCTGGGTATGCGGGTGGTGTTACAATAACATTGCTAACATTACATAACACTGTGACTAACAATATTTATTTAACGCTTAATATGCGGCATTATTCTAGACCTTTAGACATTGTTCTAAAACTTTTACTTGTATTCACTTAATCTTTGCAACAATCCTACGAGGCAGGTACTATTATCATATTCCTCTTACAAGTAAAGAAACCTAGAGCGAAGAGATTAATTCCCCCCAGGTCAGAGTGTTAGTGGCAAGACAAGGGTTCAAATCCGGTCTGATTCCAGAGGCTGCGCTTTTAACCATTAAGCCATACCCGTCTGTACGCGGGGTGGGGCGCCGGAACGAGCTGGCGTTTTATCTTAAATACTAAAAACTAAAGAGAAGACGCCAAGAAGAATCCAAGGGTGAAACCACTAAGTAATCTGAGATAAGCCCCAAAGGGCGCTGCTGCCGGACCCCAGAGCCGCAGAGCCCACTGCGGTTTGCCAAGACCCCCTTCCCGACAACTCCCCACTTTGCCCAGAAACACTTTCGGAAGAAATATTCAACCAGGTGATCGGTGACGACGCACAGCAGCCAGGTGGACCTCGGGCTCCCACTCCGCATCCCGGCCCCGATGTTGGGAACGCGGCGGTGTGGTTCCCAGAGCCGGGAAGCCAAGGCTGGGAGCTCCGGAATTCGCGGTCACCGGGGCGGGGCCGTGGGACACAAGCAGAGCGGCCCACTGCTCCAGGGACGCCGGCCCACTCCCACCTCCGCCACCCGCACCCACAGAGCCCTCACCACTCTCAAAAGACGCCCTGGAAGTTCCACCTTTTCAAGAACCGACCCTTCTCACTTTTACCGCCATTCCTCGCCGCCGGCGGCCGCAGCCAATTCAAAAAGTGACCCGCAGAGGGGCGGTGATTGGCCGCTGCTCTCCGCCCACCTCCCCGCAGGTGCCAACCGATTGGTTGTGCGTGTGTTTCAAATAAACCCAACGGCTCCGACGTCAGAACGTCCCGAATTTGTAGAGAAGTGCCCGGATGTTACCAGGAGGTGGTAGTAATGGCTTCTGGGCTTCTGTGGGAGTAGCAGGTGTGTCTGTGACTACCGCTTGTTTACTCAGTAAACATCCCGTTTCCTAAGGAAAGTTTGAGTGGATTCTCCGTCCCCTCGGTTTTTTATTTCCCCCGCCACCAAATCCTTTAAACGTAATCAGTGCCTTGACAGATGAATTTTCCCCCAGTGATTCCTGTGAGCTGTAAGATTTTTCTGCCTGAGCTTTAGGAATTTAAAGTTGGGTTAAGGGGTTTGGGGTTTGGTGGTTGTGTTGGCGCGGCAGGGCCCAGGACACGGGAACTCGGAGTCTCTCCAGATGGGCTTCAAATCAGCAACCTCTTATTTAAATCCTGACGTATGTAAAGTACTGTGCTCTGGTCTAGGGAATTTCACGGATGATTAGAATAAATTCTTAGTGTTTCTAAGCCTTTTTTTTAAAAATATATATAAGCTTGCATTTGAACAAATGTAAAAATATGTCACGAGATTCTAGACTCTCCTGGAGCCAAAGAAAATTGTTAGCTGCTGCACCCGCCCCTCCCCCCTTCCCCGAGGTCTTTTGCTGCTTTCCTCTGAAGTCTAGCCAAGAATTTATAGGTTTTCCTATAATTACGATTGCTATAATTATTTTCTTCGTTTTCTAAATATAATATCCTGTCACACAACCTCTTAAAAAGACGCCTCCCGAAGGTGAGTTTTGCATAGTTCCCACCTAATCGCTGGCTTAAATAAAGGAGGAAAGGAGAATCCGCTGCTGAAACCTCAAATTTCAACAAGAGGAGAACTTGTACTTTGGAATGGAACACTTCTGAACGTCTCAAACAGGTCGTCAGGATTTGGAATTTTTCCTAACTTTGTCAGGCCACCTTAGAATGCCTGAAAAGTTTGTAATGCATTCCACAAAATGAGTGAACCAGTCTGGTAATTATTGGTTTCCCTGTTGATAATTGAAGAATATTTACAGTCTGCCCTTCATTATCATTTATTTAATGATAACCGTTAGGGAGAAAGCAAAGAAAAACAGTAATTGAAATTTCACTTTGGAATGTGCTTGCGTACTTAAACTAGGGTGTGCCCAGCATTCCAAAAGGTCTCCTCATTGAAAATACATTAAGCTAGTGAAGAAAGCAACCTGTTTCCTCTGTGCATTGCTCCCTGTTAGGCTTTGTACCCAAATCTATTGATTGCCTACACGGTATCACCGCACAAATTGTGTGCTAGCCTAACGAAAGCTATACTTGATTCCTTTTAAGGGTTACATGGCAGTTTGACTAGCAAATAAACGGGCAATACAATCTTCTAACATTTCCTAACCATGTGACATCCTTTTCCATTTCCTAGGCAAGTAACCTCAAGCAAATAATTTAACCTCTCTATGCCTCAGTTTGAGTCTTTATAAAAGGGCATGATAGTACTTACCTCAGAGTATTGTTGTGATGATTAAAAGTTAATATATGTAATTAAAACATATTCTAGCATATAATAAACATTCAGTAGATGTTAGCTGTTAATATTACTACTACTTTGCTGCTGTGGCTGCTGCTTCTATTACCACTACTGTTACCTCAGCTGAGGCCCTATACTTGCCTGATGGGACTGATGGTCCTCTACACCGCCTTCTCACCCCTGACCACAGGAGCAATGGCAGCAGTGTTTCTGTTCCCTTTGCCCCACCCATCCCCAGCCACAAATCCCACCACCCACCAGACCAAGCTTGGTGCAGTGAAGACCTCCACTGCATTCTTTTCCTACCAGAGAGAGGACAGTCCTTCTACACTAAACTTAATCTCTCTTCTCTTTTAAGGGAAAGCCTGCAATGCTCAAGATGTCTCCTCTTGTCTAGAAGATACGGCCTTCTTGCTGCTGCCCTTGGCCAGGCTTCTGGCCCCTTCCAAGGCAAGTCCAGCCAAGATTCTTTATGCTAAATGCAAGCCTCTTCCTTCAGATGCCTTCACTGGAAATGTAGTTATTGAATTCATATGTCAAGGGGACAAAACTGTTTACAGTACAGGATAAATAGATAGATAGATAGATAAATCAATATGAGAAGTTCCTTGAAAGAATAAACCATTTAAAAAATTCTTACATGTCATTCACAACTCCTAAGATGCTGAATGAACAGTTTTCAACAAAAAATACTAAAGGAATTGAACTAAAGTACTTAGTATATTAAAGTACATGACATATTTTCATCAAACGATACGATAATTTCTGAGGTGGGGAAATGAAATGTGGAAGATAAAACTACTGAGATTCTTCCTTTGGAGGATCAACTTCCCCACCTCCATCTCTGAATTGAGTGACACTCTGGACCATCTTTCCTGACTCTCATCTTAACACTTGTTCCTCTTCCAGTTTAGTCCCTCCTCTTTATTTATAGTTCCTTTCTTTCCTTACGCCCTCCCCTTTCTATCTCCATCTTCGTTTTCCATATGTACTCCTTCAGGGCAGCAGAGAATGGGGAGTTAGGAAAGTTAGTTTGGGGTTATGGAATATCTTTTTCCACCCTGTATCCACCCGCATTCACAAGTATGCACACTGCCCATGCCATCACTCTTCAAATCAGAATGAAGAAGATTTCTCACACTTCTGTAGTTTGTTCTAATCTGCTAATAAGAATTAGTATATCTGAAAAGACTATTAAATTTTTGCAATAAATGGGAAATATTTGTTGTGGTAGATTTTGTTTTTATTACCTAAAGTTGTGATGAAATATAATTTCTAGGTTTTACTTTTTATTTTTATTTTTTAAAGGAACATTTCTTTCTCTTTTTTTAAATAAATTTATTTACTTATTTTTGTCTGCATTGGGTCTTCATTGCTGCACACAGGTTTCCTCTGGTTGCGGCGAGTGAGGGCTACTTTTCTTTGCGGTGCATGGGCTTCTCATTGTGGTGGCTTCTCTTGTTGCAGAGCACAGGCTCTACGTGCGCGGGCTTCAGTATTTGCGGCACATGGGCTCAGTAGTTGTGGCTCGCTGGCTCTAGAGCAGAGGCTCAGTAGTTGTGGTGCACAGGCTTAGTTGCTTCGTGGCATGTGGGACCCTCCTGGACCAGGGCTTGAACCCATGTCCCCTGCATTGGAAGGTGGATTCTTAACCACTGCACCACCAGGGAGGGAAGTCCTAGGTTTTATTTTTAAGTATGAAATGTCATCGACCAATAATACCATCTACTTTATAGTAAATTTAACTATTTCATCATAGAATTAAATGTTTTACTGTAACTAAATTTTAACATTGTAATGGCACATAGAACTCATGTAATTGTTTTTCTCCTCTGTCACCATCCTTACCACCTCAAAGCACTTGTGAAATACATAGCTATATATAAAGCCACACTAGGTACAGTTACAAAGATTCAGTCCCTCTAAGAATTTATCACTTAAGATTTTTGTTTCAAAATCTTTAATGAGTAGCCACGGAATTCTGTACTTTCTTGGAATTATTAACATTTTCCAATTAAAATGTTGTATTTCCAAGTTGGTTATAATATAGCATCTTCTAACCTGTCATCTCTGCCTGTGAAACAAGCTTTAGAAATTATAATCACTGTGAGCCAGAAGAAGCTATTTTACATACCTCATCAGTCAGTAATTAGGATATGACATTGCTTTATTCATATGAATCATTAGGCTGTAAATCACTTGACATAGATTTGCAATACTATACAAATTTACCACTTAAAGTTTCACTTGGACAAATAGAATTACCATTCCTTGATGGAGCAAGAGGTTTCCAAATATGGTGAGGCCATTTTTGAAATTATGTAATTTGATTAGCAAAATTTTAGATGTGGGAAAAAAAAATCTCAGTTCACTAGTGTCATTCTTTATTTTACAAATGAATTTTACCGAGGCCCGCAACATAGAGCTTATATTCCTTTACCAAGGTCAGGTAACTGGTTAATGGAAAAATCAAGATCCAAAATTTTATTTCTATTAAATCTATTTTGTCTTTATTAAATTAAAGATACTAATATTTATATTTTACATTAAGCTTATAAAAGTACCAGTATCTTTATTCATACTGCTTATATATTTTACTTTTGAGGACATTAAGATGCTTTCAGGGACTTCCCTGGCAGTCCACGCAGGGTGCGTGGGTTCCATCCCTGGTTGGGGAACTAAGATCCTGCATGCCACCTGGCATGGCCAAAAATAAAAAAAAATTTAAATAAAAAAAAAAGATGCTTTCAGTCCCATAAGAGCCTTGTTGGTTTTGTTTACCAATGTATCTATCTCCAGCACCTACAACAGTTCCTGGCATATAAGATGTTCTCAAAAGTTGTTGCATGAATAACATTGTAATTGATCTTCAGAATCCATATTGCTTTCTTCTAATTCTCAAGTTCGCATTTAGAGTGACATTTTGCAAATCCAAACTCATCATATCACTACCTCCTTAAAACCCTTCAATACTACTAGGCCTCCATGGCCTGACCTCTACTCATTTCCAGCTTCATTTTACACCATGTTCACTTTCTTTCTCTTGAGTTCTATACCTGCCTTCCTTCTCAAGGATTTTTGCATCTGCTCTTCTCTCTACCAATTCCTTTGATCCCCATTCTTTTAACCTAAGAGACAACTTCTAATCCTTTTAGCATTTGCTCACTTACTACTCCTCAGAAGATCTTTGCTAACTACCCATATCATCAGAATCCCCATTATATAGCCCCCAGCACCATGAGTATCTCTTTTGTGGTACTTATCAAAGATGTGATTATTGGATTAATGTCTCTCTCCTCCACTATCTAAGCTACCTGAAAGGGAAAATGTCTTTTTGTTTACCATTTTGTCCACAGTGAAGGCACTCAAT